AAAAATTGACAGAGACAAAAACCCAAACTTTTCAAATTAAAACGGCCCTCTCCTCGAGCTCCACCTTAAATCCCAAAGTATGATGGTAGAAAATTCACTGATTGAAGTAGATCAGAAGATTTACAAGAAGATTTTATAGAGAGGTGAGAGCCTGAAGAGATTAGATATTTTGGAGAGAGAGAGAGAGAGAGAGAGATCAAAAAGTGAGTAAAAAGTGACTTTCCTCCCAGTTTTAGAAGTTCATCTCTATAGAACAGACTGCTCGAGCCACCAAAACACTACTCTTGTGAAGAAAACAAACTCTCAAAAGTATGGACTACAGCCCAGAATCTAGAAAAAAGAAAAGATTGCTCAAGCGACCAAATCACCGCTCGAGTGAACCCAAGTTCACACAGCCAAAACCACCCCAGAAATACTAGACCCAACATATTTTAACCATAACTCAAAAATCTAATTCTCAACTCTAAAAGATAACATAGGACCAAAATAGATGTCAACAACACTAATAGATATAAAACCCAAAACTAAAGAGTATAAAAGGGTCGGGTTTTAGCCCGAGCCGCTATATCATCCATGAGAAGTGCAACCAATTATTATTATTATTATTATTATTATGTTAATTGGGACTCATTTTCATTCAAAAATTTATTATGACCCATTATAATTTTATTTATTTTTTTTGGTCAGTCTAAGAAAATATTTACACTACAAATGTGAAGATAATTATATTAAATTAGACAATTAACTACTAAGAGAATCTAATAAAACAAATCTGCAATCTCAATACTAACAACTACATCATAAAACATGATCCTATAAAAGAGAAGAAAATAAATAATCATTTTTTTGTTAATAATTGACTCCTAATGTTCCATTTGTCCGGGCTAGAAAACAATATTTAATTTTTTGGCATTTGATATAGTAGAAAATAAAAGTCAACGAAAAATATTTTTTATGATCAACAAAAAACAAATTCAATTAGGAGAAAAATATTTTTAACTTTTGAAAATTAAAAAATATTGTATATATTTAAAATCTTACCAATACCACATTATCAATGTTCTTGAAGTGAAAGTATTCTAGAGAACTTAAACAATTGTTGGGTGTAGGAGTTTAAGCTTTATTTTGGGTATTGTGTTTATGTTCGTTGGCTTCTTACCAACCAAGTATTGTATCGAATTGATTTTAAGTTATTTGACTTTTCCAGATTGATGGTTTTTCTTGCTTTCTTTTCCTTCTTGTAATATTTTATTTATTTAATAAAATATTAATTCTTTGCTAATAAAAATAAATAAATAAATAAATCTAATACCACACTATCCTGCCTGCACCCTGCTACAACCACCTACCTGTCACCAACCCAACACCACCATCACTATCCTCTCTACCAACACTGAGTTGAAAAATTAAAAACCATTTTCCGAGTTAAAAATCTTGCCAATACCACACTCTCTTGCTTTTCCATGCCACCACCACTTAGCCGCCACCAACCTTACACCACCATTATCATCATCTCCACCAACACCACCAGTAATACAATCACTCACCCATTAAATTCAAGGTCATACGCACGCATAAGAAAACTTTCTACATAATAAAAATATATTTTTTTGTAAAAACTTTCTTTTTTTTTTTTTTTTTTTTTTTTTTTGTTAAAACAGATGGTTACACTTAAGATGGCTACCACGTAGCTATAACCCTACAATTATTGTGCAATATTTTAGTCTTATTGTGCAAATTATGGCATATTTTTAAATGTTTGATCTCGTGAAAATTTCTTGTCTTTACAGGTACTAAAAGAACTATGATAGGAAATCGCGCCTCTAGTGGTTGATCATTTTATAGTATGAGATTGCAGATTTAATTTTTATAGGGAAAAATTATGTAGCGTTTGGTAGAGTTTTAGAATTATGATTTAAGAATAGAGTGATATTTTGAGTTTGTGAGTTTTGAAATTATGATTTAAGTGTGAAAAATTTATTTGGTTATAAGTTTTGAAAAAAGTTTCGAATTGAGTTTCAAATGAATAATGTGACATATGATATTTGATTCAAAAATTTATAACTCATAACCAAACACACAACCCAAAATTCTATACAAAGCTCATAAAAAAAAATTTTAAAAATTTCAAAAATATTTTTTTATTTAAAATATAAAAATAACAGATGCAAAAAAAAAAAACAAAAAAAAAAAAACACTGTTCCGGTCAACCGGCTGGACGTTCGGAGGGATGACCGGATAGACGTGCTTTGAAAAATGGGTGTGGAATCAATTTTTGAAAGCGCTAAACAAACGCAATACTCAAAGCAAGGAATAGAACTAGAATTCTAGAACTCTACCAAACAGAGCCTTTTTTTTTGTAATGTTTATTTATTTTTCATTGTGAAAGTTATATGTAATTGTTCTGTTGAAATTGGTAATCGTTGATTTTCAAGTCAGTTTGATATAATATTTTTCATATTTGTAAGGGTAAATTACTAATAGGTCCTAATAGTTGGACTTAATTCCCAACCAGTCCTATTAAAAATAAGTTCTAATACAATCATTGCTAAAAATAATTTTTTGTGACGATTTTTTACATTTGTCCCTAAAAATTGACAACTAATGACTTTTTTTTGTCATAATTTTTATAAATTATCGTTAAAATTTATAAATAATGACATTTTTCTGTGACAAATTTTTCAAACTGTTGCTGAAAGTTAAAAATTGGTAATTTTTTTTTTTTGTGATGATTTTTTTAAACTGTCGTTAAAATTTATAATTAGTAACATTTTTTGTGATAAAATTTTGAAACTATCGCTGAAAATTAAAACTTAATGACTTTTTTTAGTACTATAAGATGAAAAATGACATTATATTATCATACGATCTATTAAATGATAAGTTCACTTAGCAGGACCTATACGTAAATTTTTCTTATTTTTCTATCACAATCCCCTCCCCCCCCCAAAAAAAAAAAAGGGAAAAAGGCAAAAAAGGGAGAGAAGGTAAATTACACTAGTAACCCCTTTAGTTTAATTTAAATTTTATTTTAATCGCTATAATTTCATATTGAACTATTGAGTCCTGACACTTGAAATCTAATTTTAATTTGGTCTTTCTATTTGACTTAGGGGAGCCTCAAATTTTTTGAATCCTTACACTTGAAATCTAATTTTAATTTGGTCTTTCTATTTGACTTAGGGGTTCAAATGTTGAGATTTCAAAATTAAATTTATGAGGACTTACGTATAGGTCCTAATAGATAGATTTATCGTCCAATAGAAACTATGATAATTAATGACATTTTTTTTATCAAACACTATTAAAACAATGTCATTAATTGTTAATATTCAGCGACAGTTTGAAAATTGTCACAAAAAATGTCACTAATTATAAGTTTTAGCAACAATTTAAAAAAATCTTCACAAAAAAATGTTACTAATTTTCAATTTTCAGCGATAGTGTGAAAATTTGTTGTAGAAAAATATCACTAATTATTAGTTTTAGTGACAATTTATAAAAATTGTGACAAAAAATTAACCAGTTAATTTTTAGCAACATATGCAAAAAATTGTTACAAAAAATTATTTTTAGCGATAATTTTACTATAACTAATTTTCAATAAGATTTGATAGAAATTAAATCCAACTATTAAGATTTATTGGTAGTTTATCCTAAAATTTAATTTAAGTCAAATTATACAAATTGAAAGTATAATTTTCCTTTAAAAAATTAAAAATAAAAACTACGATGGTGATGTAATTGGAAAAAATCGAGGCCCATAACATTTTCCATCCCATTGATTCAACAAAAGTTCAAAGTCAATGAAATATGGATTGTTGCACCGAAGCCACTTGAAATGTCTAATGTTGTGTTTGGCTGAGGGATTTAAGGAGGGATTTGGAAAGGAAAATGGAAAAAGTAAATATGAATAAAACATGCCTAAATTTCACATAGTTTCACACACCTTTTCCCTTTCCCTTTCCAAATCCCTCCTCAAATCATCCAACCAAACACATCATAAAGGTATGAATTGGTTTGCCTAATGGCATGGCAAGGTGGTGTTATATTTTTTAGTTTGGTGAAGAGTTGAGTGCAATAGTAGAGTTGGGGTAGGAGGGCGTCGCTGTCTCAAAAATTTTAAAAATATTATATATTATATTAAAAAGTTTTAAAAATAAAAACTATCTTTGTAATGTAATTGAAAAAATCGAGGCCCACAACATTTTCCCTCCCAAGGTACGACTAATGGCATGGGAAGGTGGTGTCCTATTTCTTAGTTTGGTGAAGGAGGTGGGGTTGAGTGGGAAATGGAGGGGGACGACCGTAATTGAGTGATCGGGAAACAATCAAATGATAATGTATTGTAATTAATGTGTGGCTATGTGGCATAAGCCAGGTGGTTGTCCAAAGAACATATATTTAGTTTTGGAGTTTCTAAAAATATATTTTTTTAATTTTTAATTTGTATTTTTTAATTTTTAGTATTTTTTTGATGTTTTAATCATTTTTTTAATTGTTTGGATTTACTTAATCTAATAAATACACTTTTTCATTAACCTATAATAATTTTTAATAAAAACAATTGAATTTAATTTTCCCTTGATTTTTTATTAGCACCTATTATAGCCCATTTTTAATAAAAGAACCTAGGAAGATCAAAGCTTATAACGTTGTCTTTTTTCATAACAACTTTCTATAAATTCTTAATAAATTATAAATCTTTTTACTAAGTTTACATACACTCACACTCACAACATGTGTAATTATTATATATAATTATATTTCTTACTTTCATCAGTCAGTAAATATTCAATAATTCAACAACGCTATTATCTTTTTGTCCTTTGATTAAGGCATCCAATGCCTTATTCAACTCCAATTTGGAATGTTGCACAAAAAGTCTTAGTTATGGACCAGACATTGCACTATAAATAGCAAACTCACTAATAATATTAGACACAAGTTACAGACCAAATCCAAACCAAATCCAAATTGTTCTGTTTGTTCGCATGATCATGGGTTTATCCATGACAACTACATCAACTCTTTTTTACATTGCCTTTCTCACCATTTCATCATTTCATAATTGCTTTTGCGATGGAAGCTCCAATATTGTTTGCCTTGAAACTGAGAGGCAAGCCCTACTAAATTTCAAGCATGATCTTAAAGATCTTTCAAACCGATTGTCCTCTTGGACTGGTCAGGAATGCTGTCAATGGGCTGGTGTTGTCTGTGACAACTCAACTGGCCATGTCCATGAGATCCACCTTCGTAATCCTTATGGTAATTATGGAACTCGAGGTGAGTACCAAACTTATTTGAGGAATATGTTAGGGGGCAAGATAAATCCTTCTTTGCTCGATTTGAAGAACCTTCGTCACTTGGATTTAAGCAGGAATCGAAGGTTTTGCAGAATTTCTAGAAAATGCAATTCTGGTGACCAAAGGAAGAATTTTTGAATATAGCACCATTCTTCAATTGGTGACAAGCATGGATCTTTCGAAAAATAATTTATCTGGAGAGATCCCCGAGGGACTAACTACACTTGTGGAGCTACGATCATTGAATTTGTCTGGAAATCATTTAACAGGAAGGATTCCAGAGCATATTGGTGATATGGGGCTACTAGATCCGTCAAGTGAATCTTAGCAGAGCATCAAATTGGCTACAGGTGATAAACACACTCCCCTCTTTGGTAGAATTACATTTGTCTAGTTGTGAACTTAATTATGTTTCTCCTTCAATTAATATTAACTTTACACTTTCCATCCTCGACCTCTCCAATAACAATTTTGAGTCTCCTATACCCAGGTGGATTTTTAGTATGAGTAGTCTAGTTTCCTTGGATATCAGTGGGTGTAACTTTTATGGTTCAATTCCTAGTGGTCTTCAAAACATGACTTCTCTTAGAGTGTTTGATGCTTCCATAAATAATCTAAATTCTACGATACCTGAGGGGTTGTTTAACCTCAGTAGCCTCATTTCCCTACGCTTAGGCTTTAATAATATTCATGGACCAATTCCAATTGGCCTTTTGAACATGACTAGCCTTAGGGATATTTATTTGCCAGGGAATGCTTTCGAGTCTAACTTTCCAAATTGGTTGTATAGTTTTAGTCATCTTGAGTCCCTCAATCTTGGGGGCAACCTCTTGCAAGGGGTAATCTCAAATGCCATAGGAAACCTAACTTCCCTGTTTAGTCTAGACTTGTCATTTAATCGACTTGAGGGGAGAATACCAAGGTCATTGGGAAACCTTTGCAAATTGAAGCAAATTGCTTTATCACGTAACAATTTTGACGGAGAGGTAGCACAAGTTATTAGAAGTTTCTCTCGATGCATGTCAAATGGATTGGAGTGGGTGGAATTAGAATGGAATTATCTTCTTGGTCATTTGCCAGATGAGCTTGGCCAATTCAAAAATTATCTTCATTTCCGGTCCCATTCCAATGTCAATAGGAAGATTGTCATCCTTGATAACTTTAGATCTTTCTAATAATCAGTTGAATGGAACTCCTCCACAAAGTCTTGGGCAACTTGCAAAGTTGGAAAGGTTGTATATATCGTATAATTTGTTGAAGGGTGTTGTGTATGACATTCACTTTGCCAATCTCACAAGACTGTATATCCTAGATGCATCTGGGAACAGTTTAACCTTTAAGGCAAGTGATAGATGGATTCCCCCTTTTCAAATTGAAGTTTTGAGGCTGAGCTCATGGCAATTAGGACCACAATTTCCGCTATGGCTTCAATCCCAAGGAAAGTTACATGAGCTGGCCATAGCAAGGACAGGAATTTCAGATTCCATGCCGACCTGGTTTTGGAGCAAACCTTCCGCATTTGTATATTTGAATCTTTCCAATAACCAAATTCAGGGAGAGATTCCAAGAAAACTTAATGCTCGCTGCACAATTGATTTGAGTTCCAACAACTTTAGTGGTCAATTACCACTCATCCCCTTTAATGTGGGTTTGATAGATCTTTCAAAAAATTCTTTTTCAGGATCTATTTACCACATGTTGTGTGGTACGATGGATGAACCAAACACAATACTGAGATTTCTTAATCTGGGAGACAATTTTTTGTCAGGAAGGATTCCTGATTGTTGGAAGAATTGGCCATCGCTGGTAAGCATAAAATTATAAAACAACAACTTGAGGGGTGCCATTCCACAGTCCATTGGAATTTTAAATTTCCTCCAGTCATTGCACCTGAGGAATAACAAACTCTCAGGAGAATTGCCTCAATCTTTACAGCAATGTAAAAAATTGCTAATCATTGATCTGTCTAAAAATGAATTTATTGGAAACATACCAACTTGGTTAGGGAATTCATTTTCGGAATTGATAGTTCTCAATGTCCGATCAAATAAGTTCCAAGGTGACATTCCACATGAACTATGTTGTCTAAGTTCTCTTCAAATCTTGGACCTTGCACATAATAATCTCTCAGGACCCGTGCCAAGATGTTTCAACAATTTTAGTGCCATGGCAAAAAAACAAAACTCAAGTGGTGACATATCGTACATCGAAGGTTTTGCAGAATTTCTAGAAAATGCAATTCTGGTGACCAAAGGAAGAATTTTTGAATATAGCACCATTCTTCAATTGGTGACAAGCATGGATCTTTCGAAAAATATTTTATCTGGAGAGATCCCCGAGGGACTAACTACACTTGTGGAGCTACGATCATTGAATTTGTCTGGAAATCATTTAACAGGAAGGATTCCAGAGCATATTGGTGATATGGGGCTGCTAGAATCCCTTGATTTTTCTCTAAACCAACTTTGGGGTGAAATTCCTTCGAGCATGTCGAGTTTGACATTCCTGAGTCACTTGAACTTGTCCTATAACAATTTGATTGGACGAATTCCATTAAGTACTCAGCTTCAAAGCTTAGACAATTCTAGCTTTGTTGGAAACAACCTTTGTGGACCTCCACTTGCAAACTGCGATTCAAACATGATCAAACCGAAAGTTGGACATTCTGGCAATGAAGAAGAGGAGGAATTTCCAAAAGTGTGGTTCTTCGCAATCTTAGCACTGGGATTTGTTGTTGGTTTTTGGGCTGTGTTGGGTCCTTTACTATTCAAGATGTCATGGAGAATTGCTTACTTTCAATTTCTAGATGGTATTGGGTATGAACTTTTCAATTTTTATTTTAAATGTCGGTCTATCTTTTGTAATTAAAAGAAATTGTCGTTTGTGCCTTCATAAATAAAGTTGTGATGTACGAAAAATATTTTGTAGTTTCAGTTTTATAAAGTCATGTTTGATAATAATAAGTGGTCTCCAAGGTCAATTTCAACTTCGCCCTTCTCCTTGCTTTAGCTAGTTTGCAATTATGTAGCGTGAAAAGAAAATTATGGTAATTCACCAGGCCATTTTATGTAAATATGTTGCAATTCAAGCTTATTTGGCAAGCTCAAAATGAAAGAAATTTCACGTTGTTTGGTTAAACTCAATTTTTTTGAAAATTAAGTTTTTTCTTTCTTTTTTTTTAAAAAAAAATTTAGTGAATTTTTTAATATTTTACTCAAATGTTTTATAAAAAAAAATAAAAAAATGAAATTCAATGCATTTTGGTATTTTGTTGTATTCTGTAAATTTTTTAAAAAAATTTGTACAAATTTTATACTTTTTAAGTATATAAGATTAAGTGGATCCAAAAAATAAAAATAAAAAAATTGATTAAAATATTTTTAAAAATCACTAAAAATACAAAAATATGAATTAGAAAGTCAGAACACTGAAAACACCAAACCATATATATATAGATATATATATATTATGGTGCTTTTTTCCGTCGGTCAATAATTTATTTTTTATTTTTTTTAGGACATGAAAAACATTATATTAATAAAAGACAATAATAGTACATAATCAACACCCCAAAGGGCCATCCCAGCCAAACAACAAAACAAACAACAAACAACAAACAACAAACAACAAAAAAGAAATCCGCAAAAAATAACAGTTATGATCCAAAAAAAACTACCAATCTGCTTAAAGATGTGGTCTGGAAAGTAAAACGGACTTGAAAACCCACCGTCCCCAGTTAATTACTAAAGTTTCCGAGTGTTTTAAATTAGAAAAAATTATCAATAACTTTATTTTTTTTTCCAAATTATCATTCAGTTTTATCACCTTTAAATTTGTACAATTAAGTACTACTACTTTTCTTTTTTCTTTTTTTTTTTAACTTCTCCCAAATTGCTTTTAGTCTGCATAGTAGTATTATTGAATTCCAATTTTACCTTTCAGCATGTGAACTAACCGAATTATTATGATCATTTGAAGACGTCTGCGACAAACTATTAATTTATTTTTTTTGTTTTGGTGTTTAATAAATTATGACCAGGTTTCCTTTTCTCAAATAAATATTAATTTGTTATCAATATGATTCATAGATGAAAAATAATATATGAGTTCACTTTTTAAACTTATTTTTTAGATTTATTGACAGATAAGTAAGATAATTAGTTGATAATTAAAAAGAATATAAGAGAGAGATAACATATAAAAAAAATTGATTGGCATTGATCATTGAATTTAAAAAATGAGAAGCCAAATCTTGTGTTCTATTACTAAGTTGAATATCTCTTTCTATTTGACTATTTGTGCTTTTCTTTGTTAAAATATTATTTTGAAGGATTTTAGTGAAAATCTAGGTTTAAAGAAAAAAAAATTTAAAAATTTAGATTTGTCCCGTGATAAGTGATTATCAATTTAGGTAATCCAATTAAGAATTATACAACTATGATCAATGTAGAGAAGAGAGTACAGAAAAATATTCACGACACAAGATTTTTTTCCGTGAAAAAATCACAATTGGAATCGCACCAACTTGTGATAAAAACCACAGGCCCTCGGTCAGACGAATAATCTACTATGAAAGAAAAATAATACAAAAGATAAAAGGACACTCCTGTAACGTCCCAAGAAAATAAAGTACATCAACCACAGCTCTTTATGATAACATAAATAATTCTCCAACACTTGAATACACAATCATAAGGTGTTTACAAAATAGTCCCACATGCGGGTATACATTCAATGACTTCGATACATGAATTTATAGCATGTAAAACATCTAGTCAAAATAAATAAATATCCTCAAGGGCTACAAAGTCCAAGGCTTAAGCCCGGTTACACAAAATGGTTGCTCGAACCTATACAAGTATAGCCCTTGGCTTGCAAAAATAATTACAATCACAACAAAACAAGAGCCTTGTGCTGTCAACACATATATCTACGCACTTAGTTTGGCGGAAACACATCTTTTCCTGCACCAAAATCCCATAAGGCAAGCAATAAGCCCAATAGGAAAATCTTAACAAAGTATATACATTTTATACAAATCTCATGAAATGGAATATACATGTTATGCCATGCCTTTAAAAAACGTCTCATCTTCATCCTTTGAAAACTCTCATGCACAATGAAATCTTAAAATTTCAACAAAATTCAACAATTTAAAATTAAGTTCAAAGGGGTGGTAAATACGACTCAGATAATCCCTAGATTGGTGTCTACAAGTAGGCATAACTAGCACTACCAAAACCCCCACTTTACCGATAGCTAATCGGAAGGTACGTGGTACCTCATCCGCAAGTGTTTTCGGTCTTTCACCCTGGACATTCAGACCAACTTAATCAATTTCATCTACACCTCTATCCGGACTTGCCAACGTATTTCTTCCAAAACATTTCAATGATATCTTATTTCACAACATTCCTTTCTCAATACAAATGTTTTCAAATCTCAAACTCAAAAAAAAAAATTAACAACCAAATAAATTAAAATACCAATGTAACATATATCAAGGCAATTATAACAGTCTTCACTTGCAACATTTCCACGCAATTCCTCCATTTTGATTCACAATTTCCATTTCCCTTTTTAATGCAATCTCACAACATAAACATATAAAAATTTATATCTATTCAAGAGTAGCAACACTGCCACATTTCATGCATCTTCAACCATTTAATCATTTCGCGACAATATTCACATTGTTTAATGACAACTTCAAAACAATTATATCATAAATTCCATGGGATTTTTCATATACACATACATCAATAAGAATTTCCCAATCCTCCATTCATTCCAACATTTTATAGAGCAAAATTATAAGTTTTCCAATTTATATAAAAAAAATTCTCAAATTTTTAGGTTTTTCCCAAGCTAGGCAAAATCCCCATTTTTTTTTTTTGAAAGAAGCTCTCCAACACATCCTTCATTATTAATGTAGTTCAACTCTCAAGAACTTTTTGAAAACAATGTGTGAACCCATTTTTAAACTCATCAATACTCTTGAATCAAAATCAAGTTTCAATACCACAAAAGAGAGTTCCATGAAATCAATAAAATCTTGTAAAAATATATATGTAACTCTAAGAAAATCCCTACCTTAAATTTTGGAGAAAAAAAGATGAGAAACCTCCAAATTTGACGGTGTTGAAATCTAATCTCCACTGCACAAAACGAAGCCCTTAGTTAGCTTTCCAAATTTAATGAAGGATGTTGGACCAAAACTACGATGGATGACAAGAAATCAAGAGTTTATGATGTTTGGTGGAGGTTTTTAGAGAGAAGAGAGAGGAAAAGATATTTTTAGAGAGAGAGAGAGAGATGTGTAAAAAGTGAGATACACTCAGTCCAAGAAAAGAGAAAAAGACATATTTTTGGACTCAGCGAACTTTCGCATGTGCCGCACCCCCATCCGCACGTGCGGCACTCTCCCCCACACCTTCTTCCGCTAGTGCATATAAAGCAGAATGCATCATTGACAACCCCCTCTTCTCCGCACCTGCAGCCTCACGTCCCGCACGTGCGGCCCCCGCTCCGCGCATGTCGCCCAAGCCCCTGCACGTGCGGTTCTGCTTCCCAGCCAAAAAATTTCCCAGCTCAACCCAGTGACACCCCAGATCCAACCCCGCACCTTCGGCAACAAGTGAAACTCAAAATTAAAATAAATAAGAACGAGAATTTTGAGAAAAAGTTTTCAAAAACAACAAACCCAACAATTGACAAGACCTTACATTAGAACCCGACATTCTAACAAGAGTAAACCCAACATAACTCAAAGAGGATGAGGCAAATTATGTACCCGGTCATCACACTCTAGGGCACACGAGTTCACTCCACAGCACACAACTTTGTTCGATCTACAGGTACCTCCACATTCTTCACTTGATATCCACCATGGTTTTTAAATAGTCAAGACCCCAATAACTCCAAAATTCACCGAAGCATACAATCGTGGAATCCACCACAAAGGTTCACTTTTGAAAGGTGTGAAGAACTTTTTAAAGCTTGATGATTAACTTGAAACATTTATGATCTAATGAACCATCAAGCAAATATGAGAGTATTATAAACAATCCACACTACAAAGATCACTCTCAAACACTCTCTCAACAAAATAGATCTCTCTCAAAAATAATACTCACTACATAAAAATAATCCCTCAAGATAGGAAGTATTCAAAAAAGCTAGGAGAGAGCACTTAGAAAAATCTGTGAGAGGTACCAAACATTTCACCCGGGCTTGCTTTAAATAGACCAGGTAGAGAACAAATTCATGGGCATGGTCCAATAGGTCGCGGGCGCGGTATGTAGCTTCGCAAGCGCAACCTCTCTTCGCGGGTTGCAGAGAAAAAAAGTACGGGGAGAGTGAATTTCGGAGGCTTCAAATCGCGGGAGCGATATTCATATATCATGGGCACGAGATTTGAGTTCACGGGCACGATCATCCCTTTGTGAATCGCGGGCGCGATGTTATGTCTCGCGGGCCCAATGAGGCATGAGGCATGAGGCATGAGCTACTTTTGCAAACTTTTGCTGCTGAAATCTCCCATGTTCTCCACGTTTTGCCAGACAAACAGCCTCCCTTTTTGGCTGTAAATCACACATGCTTGTCTACAAAAGATAGCCAACAAGATCAAAAGATTTTGACTAACAAAATCAAGAAAACTTTAGCCCATTTCATGTCAACAAAAACAACCAGAAGCTCTCATATTTTTTAACCCACATCTTGAGCCACCAAACTTCTCTTGATCTGCAACTTTTGTTTTTGAAATTTCCAACCATCATATCAATTGTTATATATTATTTACTAATAACAATACTAATCTCCATGTTTTTTGTTTTGTTTTGTTTCCTTTCTTGATTCCCACATTGGAATATAAAGAAATCTCTACACTTTCCCTTGGACAGAATTCAATATTTCGTTCCCTCCATTCACTTGGAATTTAAATTTTTAGTTTGGTTCCCACATAGAAATATTGAGCTATAAGTGTGCTCTCATCTACTACAAATAAAGGAAGGACTTTTTATATTCCTTTAAGTTTCCATTGGAGATCTTCCATTGAAGATATCCATCCATGAGATGGAATTTCTAGTTCTCTTGATATATATACATATATATATATATATAATATGTATACATAGAAAGAAATAAATAAATAAATAAAATATTTAAACAAATGGATAGTTTGGGACCATTTGAATCAATCAATTTTAAAATTTCAAATTCAGAGATCCTAAAAAATATTTAAACAAACGGACAATTTGGCACCACTTGAATAAATCAGTTTTAAGATTTCAAATTTAGAGATCCTAACCACTAGTTGATTTATGGACGTTGGGAAACAGTTTGAACTTTTGAATTCCCTAGTTGGTGTCTGTTCATGTTCCATATAAGGAACTCTCTTTAACAACCCATAGGCACTTAAGCTCTATTTAGTTTATTTTTTGAAATAAGTTGAGTTTTGAGTTATATTTTAAAAAATAAGTTGTTGAAAAAAGTTTTGAAAATTGAAATTTTTTTTGGATATGAGTTTTGAAAATAATTTTGGGATGATTTATTATTATTATTATTATTATTATTATTATTATTATTATTATTTATTTTTTATTTTTTTGTAGTTGAATAAATGGGTATGAGATAAAATTTGATTGATTGATGTATAAAATGTGAGAATGAGAGAAAAGAGAGGAGAGAGAAAAAGTGATTGATTGATTTATTAATATAAAAAAAAAAAAAAGAGGAGCGAGGAGAGAAAAAAAAATTTTGAAAAGAGTTTTGAAAATTTGTTAACCAAACATGTTTTTTGATTTTTTTTTTTATCCAAATATTAATTTAAAAACTAAACCAAATGTTGCCTTAGTTTTTTCCTGCAAATTTTCTTCACTATTTTCATTCTGAGTTTTCTGGGTTAAGGTTTTGGTTTAGAAAACAACTAAGGAATACAACTGTAGTATT